TCAACTCCAGTGCCACAAAACCTTCACCCACTTCTACGGGTGCTTCAATATTATCCCTCCTTACGGGGATAACTCTCGGGGGAATCAAGTCCCTAAGAAGTGTGTCTTCATCATTTAGCTCCTCTGGATTGGAGCTGGAGCTCTCGCCAACATCACCCCTAGTCGGTCTAGGGCCAACTTCACTGGTTTCCTCACGCCGTGACATCGTTCTATAAAACAAAGAAAATAATTCAATAACGATAATACTAAGGTCCAACCATGAACAACCCAACGCAAAAAGATACTGTACAAACATTTAGCATGTAATACTACGCAATGAACACATTAATATAAGCATATAAGCACATAAGCACGTAAGTAGTTAAGCATGCTTTTTCACATAGCAAAACACTTTTGCAAATAAGGAAATAACAATGCAAATGACTTCCCAGACAACCCTAGGTAGGCCTCTACCCATCGTCCTAATGGTTTTCAAACCTAGGCTCTGATACCAAATTTGTAACAACCCTAAATGATGCCAAAATTTTAAAAAAAAATTAAAATTTTGGCATGACCTCTGCTAAAAATCGTCCTACAACAACCTATTTAAATGCATTTTTAACCTGTCCCAATACAAATATCATATAATACACTCCATGGTGGTACAACCACATACTATATCATCCAAATATCATATTTACAGTCCCAAATTACAAGATTAATATCAAATGTTCATATTTTACAACATTTAGACAGCTTATACAAAAGTTACAGCCCATAGGTGTAATTAAAATATGAAAAGTCCATAAGTCGTCGTACAAAATACATTATGCTTAGTCTTACAAAAATAGTGAGACCTAAGTACAAAAACAACAAAATAAGCTCCTAATCCATACTAAGTCGGTGGTAGAATGTCATCCGCCACTTCTTTCCCGTTTCCTGAAAAAAAATGTTAAAATGAAGGGGTGAGCATAATCTCAGTAGGAAGTGTCTAAGGGACACCTCTTGAGATCCCGTGAATCCACACAATGAATAGGAATAAGAAAATTGGGATCATACCATGCCAGGAGTAAAAGTATAACTACAATACCACATCATTAACCCAATACCACAAATAAATATACCATGCAATGAGATACCGTGTCATGCAATGTCACTCCCCATTTTCCCAAACCATTTCCACTATCAATTTCAAAACCGTTAGTGAACCCGTCCCATGGCAACTCCATGGCGGCACGAGAGGAGGATTGGCCACTGTTCCTGACCCATGGCAACTCCATGGCGTCATTTGGGGCCTAGGTAACTCAACCACACTAGGGCGATCTCCCTAGTCCCCTCTAGGCCTCACTAACGCCGCGGTCCCTAGGCAACTCCTAGGCGGCTGGGTTTTTCATAAAATCCCTTTCAAAATTATTTCCCAAAAAGATATATATATATATATATATATATATCTATATATATTTTTATTTTTTTATTATTATTTTTTTTTCAAAACAACATTCCCCACAATTAAGTGCATGTATGTTTCCTATTTTCATGCCATACCAATATTTATCAACACACATGTAATTTTAAACTCATGCCATTTTACATGTTTTACAAGAATTTCAAAGAAATTATCACATTACTTACATTCAACAATAAGCTAGCAGGATTAAGCATGTAAGACATGAATTCTATATCATTCAAGTATGCTATTACACATAATATCAATTAAAACACATAGTCATGTAACTCATTTAGAACAATTTAATCATTTACAAGAAGATCAACCAAAATAACATGCTAAGTAGCAAAAATCAAGAAGGAAATTCACTAAGGTGCAAGAAATTGTATATTAAGAACCCCTACCTCAAAGGAGGAGAAAACCCCCAATTCTCAAACCCTAGATTCAAAAATTCAAGGATGCTCCAAACTAGAAATTGCTCCTAACAACTTGTTGATCTCGTTGTGGGCTTCGAATAGCCGCAAATGGCTCTTAAAATTACTAAAAAATGAGGAATTAGTTAAGGGTGAAAGCTTGAAGCGAAAAAGAAAAGAAGAGAAGCCGAGAGGAACAAAGAGACAGGAGAGAAAAAGAATGAGAAAGGCAGTGACCAAATGTGGTCTAATAACCACTTAAAAAGAGGCGTGGGTCCCACCTTTTTTTTTTTGAATTTCTTTTCTCTTTTTTTTATTTTGCTTTTAAATTATACCACACACAAATATATACATATATGCACATATATATGTAAGGCACAGATATTACACTTGATGTGCCACCTTCAATTGCTGCCTTTCTTTGTTTTCTCTTCCTTCCCATTCTCTAGCGGGTTTATCTGGCTCTTCTAGATCAATTAATGGCGGAAGAACGATTTATGCATAAAGGGTTTTTAGAAGGGTTATGGGTTTTTAGGCTTATATATTACCTAACTGAAAACACAGTAGTTACCAAAGATATATATATATATATACACACACACACACACATATGGGAATTAAAATCTTCAAAGAATAAAATATATATATATTATTTTAAAATTTTTTTTTTGAAGATTTTAATTCCCATATTTTTTGAAGATTTTAATAATATAAATAAATATATATATATATATATATATATATATATATATATATTTTCAAAATTTTAATTCCCATTTTAATTAATAATATTAGTTTAGAAAGCTTAAAATAAGGTGGTTATGTTGTTGTTGTACTAGGAAAGGGAAAAAGTGTGTTTACAATATGGAAATTTAGTCACTGTACACGGTATACACCAAGAAAGACCATTGACTCTTTGTTGTTCTCCTCAAAAAAGGAAGGCAAATATGGAAATTTGCCTGAATTTTCTCGTAACTCTGATATAACTTTCCATATATCAGGAAAAATTTCTCACAGCCGAGGCAATTACATTCCAACTCCAAATTGCAGTGAAATGTCCTTTTCAGGTAAAACTACGCATTACAAAAACCGACTAAGATCCTCGGATGTAAACGAATTGTGTTGTACCCATGTTGAAGGGTTATGGATTTTTAGGCTTATATATTACTTATGGAAAACACCCTAGTTACCATATATATATATATATATATATGGAAATTAAAATTTTCAAAGAATAAAAAAATATAAAAAATATATATTTTTTAATTTATTTTTTTTCAAAATTTTAATTCCGGTAACTACCTTTTTTTCTTTCGTAGTTCTTGTACAGAAGAAATTAATAATATTAGTTTAGAAAGCTTAAAATAAGGTAGTTATGTTGTTGTACTAGGAAAGGGAAAAAGTGGTTATATGGAAATTTAGTCAATATACACGGTACACCAAGAAAGACCATTGACACTTTGTTGTTCTGCTTAAAAAAGGAAGGAAATTACCTTGAATTTTCTCGTAACTCTTAATATATATATATATATATATATATATATATATATATATATATATATAACTTTCCATATATAAGGAAAACCTTCTCGGAGCCGAGAGGCAATTACATTCCAACTCTATCTAAATTGCAATGAAATGTCCTTTTTAGGCAGGGGCGGAGCTAGGATTGCAAAGTGAGGTGGGCTAAAGATATGAAAATTTAAAGATGAACATAATAATTCTTATGGCAAAGATATGTTATATATATCCAAAAATAGCCAAAAAAAAAAAAAAATCCGAAGGCAATACCCAACACTAATCCAATCAATTTGTTGTTTGCAATATCCAAAAACATATATTGATGATCATTACAGAGGCAAAGCAGTGAAAATAAAACAATTAAATGAAATTATTTATGTGCCTTCGAGGCTTCAATCGTTGGTTTGCTAGGCTGTGAAGCGTTTTCAAAGAGATGGCCCAGATGGGAATGTTCCTAGAACTATCAGGCTTTCAGGAATCACGAGTTACACCAATACTATAATAGTTAGGGTTTCAGAGAGATGGGCTTCCACTTTGTAGCTTTGGTTTGCTCATTGCTTGGTTGGGCCATTTGTTATTTTTGTTTTATTATGGATTGGGCAAGGGCATGGGCTGGGCTATGACTGATAAGAAATAGTTGTACTAAATTTTTTTTTTTTTTTTTTGGACCTGGGTTGTAACCCAGGTTAGCTCACACTAAGTTACACCCCTATTTTTAGGTAAAACTATGTTATTCCTCTACAATATTTGTTGGCTACACGTTTCAGCAGCCTTTTGGCTACTGACTTTTGCTAATGGAGTATTTTTATTTTTTTGTGTTTCAAGCCGGTCTCCTTTTCTCTCTCCGCTCTCTTTCTCCTTCACTCTCCGGTGGTCTCCTTCACTCTCCACTCTCTTTCTCTCTCTACTCACCCTCTCAACCCAAAATCCATAATCGGAGCTCAAGTTTGTGTGCGGCGTGGAGAAAGAACCAAACCCATATAAGAAATTGTAGGAAAATCAGAACCCAAAATCAATTGGATTGAGTTTAAATTTTGGATGGATATTTTGGAAGAGAGACCAATAAAGAAAAAAAAAAAAAATCAAATGATGTGGTGGTTGGTGGTTAGAGGTGGTGGTTCGCCGGAGGGTGGTTTGCAGATTTGTTGGGATTCGGCAGACCCCTCCATCAACGGCTTCGGCGCAATTGTCACAGTCTAGCACAACCAACAGAGTTTCTAAATTACAAACACCATGGTGAGGGGAGAGATTTGTTAAAAATAATTAATGCCATGTTCATTCATGTATATGTTCATTCATACATCTATTATTGTACATGTATCAAGTGGATACATGTATCAAGAGTGTATATGTATCAAGTGTGTGCATGTATCATGTGTGTGGTTGACATTGTCTTGAAAAGTTCAAAGGTCTATGGGAGAATAGTATATATAGGGTAAGGTATATGTTGTTAGGATATGAACACAACAAAGAATTCAATTCAATATAATATTTGTCTCTCTCCTCTCTTCACTTAGAAATTATTTAGTTGGTTGAAACTATGGCCAACATAAGTGGTATCAGAGCTTGATTTAGATCAAGAGCAAACTGGGCGTGAAGCTTATTGACAGGAAAACAAACACCGAAGAAGATCCATCGTGATGGCGACTATAGGCAATCAAAACCAAGGTGCCCATCAATCAGCACTTCCCATTTTTGATGGGGAAAATTATGATTTTTGGTATGTGAAGATGAAGACCATTTTTCCCTCATATGATTTATGGGATTATGTTGAAGATGAGTATGATGAACACAACAAAGAATTCAATTCAATACAATATTTGTTTCTCTCCTCTCTTCACTTAGAAATTATTTAGTTGGTTGAAACTATAGCCAACAACTTTGACGAATGCCCAAAGACAACAATTGAAAGATCAAAAGAAGAAAGATGCAAAAGCTTTAGGCTTGATTCAACAAGAAATTGCTGATACAATCTTTCCCAGAATTATCAATGCTTCTAAAGCAAAAGAGGCATGGGATATTCTCGAGAAGGAGTATAAAGGCAGCACAAAGGTAAGAATTGTAAAACTCCAATCTTTGAGAAGAGATTTTGAAAATATTAAAATGAAAGAAATGGAGTTGTTGAAAGATTATTTTTCTAAACTTATGGAGGTGGTAAATCAAATGAAGACCTATGGGGAAGATATTTCTAATCAAAGAATTATTGAAAAAATTCTGATTAGTTTGCCGAAAAAATATGACTCTATTGTTACTGTTATTGAAGAGACTAAAGAACTTGAAAACTTGAGTGTTGAAGAATTGATGGGTTCCATAAAAGCATTTGAGCAAAGGTTGAGTAGGCGCTCCGAAAAGACAATTGAAAGTGCTTTTCAATCCAAGCTCAGTGTTAGTTCCAAAAATCAAGAAAAATACCCATCAAGTTTTGATCGATCCAAAGGTGAATCTTCTAGAGGTGGAAGACACGGAAGAGGAAAAGGAAGAAATTCAAGAGGAAGAGGAAGAAATAATTTTGAGAGAAGTGGAAATATAGATTCCACTCAACAAAATTGTGGAATTTGCAAGAGAAGTAGCCATGTTGACAAAGATTGTTGGTTTCGGGGAAAACCTCAATGTTTTAATTGCAAGAAATTTGGACATGTTCAAAAAGATTGCCAGTTGAAAACAAATCAGCAAGCTAAATTTTCTGAAGAGCAAGAAGGTGAAATGAGCATGTTTTATGCTTGTCACTCGACATCGGAACAAAATAATGATGTGTGGTTTCTTGATAGTGGGTGTAGTAACCACATGACCGGAGATTAAAACATATTCTTGGAGTTTGATTCTTCATCAAATTCTCAAGTGAGGATGGGAAACGGTGCCTTGGTCTAAGCAAAGGGAAAAGGTACTATTGCCATACAAACAAAAAAAGGAAGAAAGCATATTCGGGGATGTGTTACTTGTTCTAGATTTGGAGCAAAATTTGTTAAGTGTTGGACAGCTTGTAGAGCATGGGTACTCCATTAATTTTGATGAGGACTCTTGCAAAATTTATGACAAGGGAGGACAAAATCATATTGTGGCAAAAATCAAGATGGGCAAAAATAGAAGCTTTCCTCTCACTTTTTCATGTTCAAAAAATATGGCCTTGAAGATGGATGTTGTTGATGAGTCTTGGCTTTGGCATAGAAGACTTGGCCATTTGAATTTCCAAAGCTTAAAGAATTTACAACAAAATAGCATGGTATATGGGCTGCCAACAATACAAGAATTTAAAGAAGTTTGTGAAGGTTGTGCTCTTGGCAAGCATCACCGAGAGTCATTTCCGAAAGAGAAGGAATTGAGGGCTAAAGCACCATTGGAGCTTGTTCATACCAATGTGTGTGGACCGATGAAAACACCAACTCAAGTGGGTAACAAGTATTTTATTATTTTCTTTGATGATTTTTCAAGAATGACATGGATTTATTTCATGAGACAAAAATCAGATGTGTTCTCTATTTTCAAAAAATTTCAAAAGCTTGTTGAAAGGCAAAGTGGCCATCTTATCAAAGTGTTAATAAGTGATAGAGGTGGAGAATACAACTCAAATGAGTTTGAAAATTTTTGTGAAGATATTGGCTTGGAGAGACAATTAACGATTGGGTACACTCCACAACAAAATGGAGTGGCAGAAAGGAAAAATAGAACAATCATTAAGATGGGAAAATCAATGCTTCATGAGAAGGGGCTACCTAAATCATTTTGGGGTGAAGCTGTGTATACGGCTGCTTACTTGATGAATAGGAGTCCAACAAAAGTGGTGGAGAATAAAACTCCATTTGAAGCATGGAGTGGAAGGAAGCCATCATTGAAACACTTGAAAGTTTTTGGGTGTATTTGTTTTGCTTATGTTCCAAGAGAAGTGAGGCACAAACTTGATGAAGCTAGTGAAAAATGCATCTTTGTGGGTTATAGCTCAAAATCAAAGGGTTATAGGCTCTTTAATTTTAAAAAGAATAAATTGATTATTTGTAGAGATGTTCTCTTTAACGAGAAGGCTGCTTGGGATTGGAAATAGAAGAAAGTTCAAGATCAAATCCCCATTTTCAATGAAGAATCAGGAAATCAAGAAAATGAAAATGAAGTTTTTCTTGAAGTTCCACAAGAAATGTCTCCCGTATCTAGCTTACAATCAATCCTAACTTCTCCATCAAACTCAAATTCCTCATCTCCAAGTTCAACTCCAAGAAGAATGAAAAGTCTCAGTGATGTGTATGCAAGTTGCAATTTTTGTGTTGTTGAACCGAAGAACTTTGAAGAAGCAATTAAACAAGAAGCATGGAAGAAAGCTATGGAAGATGATATTTATGTGATTGAGAAGAACAAGACTTGGGAGTTAGTAAAGAAGCCAGAAGACAAAGATGTGATTGGTGTGAAATGGACTTTTAAAACAAAATTCAATCCGGATGGCTCCATTCAAAAGAACAAAGCAAGACTTGTAGCAAAAGGGTATTCACAACAGCCCGGAATTGATTTTCAAGAAATTTTTTCACCCATGGCTCGTCTTGACACAATTAGAGCACTCATTGCCTTGGTGGCTCAAAATGGTTGGTCCTTGTATCAACTTGATGTAAAATCTGCCTTCTTGAATGGTGCTTTGAAAGAGGATGTCTATGTAGAACAACCTCAAGGCTTTGTTGCAAAAGGAGAAGAAGAGAAAGTTTACAAATTAAAGAAGGCTTTGTATGGCCTAAAACAAGCACCCCGGGCATGGTATAGTGAGATTGATTCTTATTTCATCAAAAAAGGCTTTCAAAGGAGCAAAAGTGAGCCAACCTTGTACTATAAGACACAAGGTAAAATTGGGATTCTTATTGTTTCTCTTTATGTTGATGATTTGGTATTAACCGGTAGTGATGGAAAAATGATTGATGATTTTAAAAGAGAGATGATGAAAAAATATGAAATCAGTGATTTGGGTTTGTTGCATTACTTCTTGGGCATTGAAATTTATCAAAAAGAAGGAGGAGTTTTTATTTGTCAAAAGAAGTATGCAAAAACTCTTCTTGAAAAATTCAAAATGTTGAATTGCAAATCCGTTTGCACTCCCTTGGTTGTGAATGAAAAATTAATGAAAGAAGATGGAAGTAAGGAAGCGGATGCATCTCTCTATAGAAGCTTGGTTGGAAGTTTATTATATTTGACATCTTCAAGACCCGACATCATGTATGCTACAAGCTTATTATCTCGGTTTATGCACAATCCAAGTCAAATTCATGTTGGGGCTGCAAAGAGGGTATTGAGATATATACAAGGTACACTTGATTTTGGCATCTTGTATGAGAAAAATGTTGATGCAAAGTTGTTTGGTTTTTGTGATAGTGATTGGGCCGGATATGTTGATGATATGAGAAGTACTTCCGGTTATGCATTCTCTCTTGGTTCGGGTGTATTTTCATGGGCATCTAAAAAGCAAGAAACGGTTGCGCAATCTTCTGCCGAGGCTGAGTATATTTTAGCATCAATGGCAACGTCACAAGCAATATGGCTAAGGAGAATTTTTGAAGATGTTGGTGAGAAGCAAAGAGAAGCTACTCCAATTTTATGTGACAACAAATCCGCAATTGCTATGACAAAGAATCCTATTTTCCATAGTCGCACAAGACACATTGCGGACATTTTTACCAAAGCACTTCCAAAAAATAAGTTTGAATACTTTAGAGAATTGTTGGGTGTCACAAAATGGCATTAAGGGGGGTAAGTTAAAAATAATTACTGCCATGTTCATTCATGTATATGTTCATTCATGCATCTATTATTGTACATGTATCAAGTGAATACATGTATCAAGTGTGTGCATGTATCATGTGTGTGGTTGAGATTGTCTTGAAAAGTTCAAAGGTCTATGGGAGAATAGTATATATAGGGTAAGGTATTCGTTGTTAAGATATGAACACAACAAAGAATTCAATTCAATACAATATTTGTTTCTCTCCTCTCTTCACTTAGAAATTATTTAGTTAGTTTAAACTATAGCCAACAAGATTAGAGTGAGAAAGAGCCAAATATGGTGAGGAGAGGACCGGCGGTGTAGACGGCATGTTATTTGCCGGGCGCCGGAGACTTACAAGTAGAGAGAGGGGGGGGGGGGGGGAGTAGAGAAAAAAGGAGACAAGACCTTTGTCAGGCGCGACCGGATCAAAAAACAAAAAAAAAAAAAAATCCAATGTCAGCAGCCAATAAGCTGCTGACATGTAGCGACTGTGGAACTGGGATTGTAATTTTTAAGAGCACATGCAGATAAAAACTGAATTTATAATTTTAATTAAATTATTTATATAAATAAATAATTAATATTTTTTATTTTTTCAATGACTTGTTTAATTTAAAAAGACTAATTAAATTAATATTAAAAATTTAGTTATTTAGTTCAAAAATAATTCTTAGTAGTATATTAGTAGTTTATTAGTAGTTTTTTTTGGAAAGTTAAACAAGTTGTATTGGGCACAAATGTAATTACAAGGCGGGGAGCCAAACTGCTAGCCAAAGGCCCAAAGCACAGCCAAACGGGACAAGCCCAACTCAAAGGGACAGACCCGATCCAAACAAAAACAAACATCCCTAGATTGACAAACAACCAGGGGCGGAGTCAGGATTTAAATTAAGGGGGCACAGTACCAAAAAAAAAAAAAAAAAAAAAAAAAAAAAAAAAAAAAACGAAGAAGTTTAAGAAGTAGAAGAAGGTAAAAATAAAAAATAAAGTAATAGGAAAAGAAAAATGACAGAATTTTGAAAGAAATGAATTAGAGTATGATTAAATAAGGAAAATTTGACTTTTTTTAAAAAGGAAATTAAAGAAATTTAAAGAGTAAATGAGGGGGAAAAAAAAAAAAGGAAAAAGTTAAAGAGAATTTTGAAAATTTAATATTTTAGGGGGCATAATATACAAATTTCAATATATGTGTAAAAATAATTTAAAAATTCATATATATTTTATAAGGTGGGGCCAGGCTAAGGGGGCATGTGCCCCCCTAGGCATATGTTGGCTCTGCCCCTGTAAACAACCCTTCGCTCAGAGTGAGTCAAATAGCCATTGATAACAAATTTCTCCGTTAGTGAATATGCCGTCATCCGGTGGTCATCGAAAGAAGCTCGTGTAAGAACTCAAGTGATGTCATCCGACGCTCGAGGAGGTGGTTGAGTGCAGCCTGGGGATACTCCCCAATCAACAAGCACGGGATCGTGAAGTATCATAGTCCTTAAGAACTCTGGTGGAGAGCTTTGATGAGATCTCAAAGACTAATTAAATTAATACTAAAAAATTAATTATTTAGTTCAAAAATAATTCTTAGTAGTATATTAGTAGTTTTTTTTTTTTTTTTTTTTTTGTCATGAAAACGATAAGACATATCATTTCAAAGGCATAAAGGCCAAGCCAACGGCAGTATAGAGTTAAAAAGTCAAGCCAGAAAAAGCATACAAATCATGAAGCAAATCAATAAAATGAAGAACAGGTCCAGATCTGTATACAAATCATGAAGCAAAGCAATAAAAAAAAGAACAGGCCCCAAATTTATGGAGAAAACAGAGCCTAAAATTCTACAACAGAACCACCATGGGAGAAACGCAACAGACTGGAGTGACCCAAAGCTCAAGCCATCATCATGGCAACAGCTCCAAAGCTATAGCCACAAGGCACTTCGACATTGAAGAAAACCACGCACAAGATCAAATCAAGGAGAAAAATATCAAATCTAGGCAGGAGAAAACCAAAGTCGACGTAGACCAGAGATCTAGTTAGAGAAAACAACAGATTCGCCCATGTGATCCGAAAACGAACC